ACTAGGATCCTTCTTTCTCTAAACTCCCACAGGTTCCTTCATCTGTCCTTTACTAGTGGCATACAGAGTACTGTCTGCCTTATGTTTCCACAGCTTCTACAGCTTCTCTATCTTAGTGGGAAGAGACAAATTCCATGTTCAAGTCTGAGTTCTGCCATAAAAAAATGTGAGCTTCAATAAAGTACCTAAATGTTGCAAAGCCTTGGTTTCCTCACTAGCAAAATGGCTTTAATGCCCGCCCTGCAGAGCTGGTGTGAGGATTAAATGAGATTACATATGTAAAGTTCCCAGAATGGTACTGGGTACTAAAGTGGATATGCTCCTTCTCCCTACCTCCAAGTAGTAGGTCTCCTGAGCTTAGGAAGTCTCCTCTCTTCTTTCCCCCCGCTCTTTAAAAAGTGGTTGTCTAGTACCTGATGGACCTCAGATAATGTTTCTTGAATTTAGTAATTCATTCAACACATAATTTCTGAGCAACCACTATATATCAGGTACTCCTTTGGGGATATAGTGATGAACAAGTCAGAAAAATGTCTAGACTTTCAAACAGCATCTAGAGAGGGGAAAACAATGAACAAACTAAACAAAAGAACAGGTTGACTGCAGAAAGTGTTAAGTATCATGAAAAAAATAAAATAGGGTAGTTGGTAGCGAGGGACTGGGAACGAATGCGTAAATGAACAGGTAGGTGAGGAGGTGGGTGAACAACTCTATTGCTAAAATATGGCTGAGCCTGCCTAGGTTCTTCTGAGCTGTTATCCAGGGCGTCTGGACAGGTCTCCTCTTGTCTTCCTCCCCAGGCCAGCTCAGCAAAGCTGATAAAGAACTAATTATTGTGGTGATCAGCCTGGCCAGCAGGTGCCCATACAGCGTGGTTGTCCACAGTGCCCAGTACAGGGTCTACTCGAAGAATCCAATGCTCTCTGACCAGGTTAGTGCCCGCCTCCCCATGCCAGATTCAGGGTTTCTTCAGACATGAGGAAAGGGAAAAGCCCATGCCACTCTCGGGTGCAAAAAACACATGCCTCTAGTTCTTCCCATTGCTTGAGTTCCCTTTCAGTCCCCATCACTGTGCCCACCTGCTTCTGTGTGTATGTGATGTTTGGGGCTAGAGGTTAGCTGAGCCCCAGCTTTGTGCCAAACCTGGTACTGGATACTTGGCATACATTCTCTCAAATGCACACAACTCCCCCTCTAGGTTGAGCCTTATTATAACCATTTTACCCTTAAAGTTCAGAGCTGTAACTTAACATGGGGCATACAACTAGAATGTGGCAGAGTCCATTTTCAAAGCTTGCATGCTTTCTGGTACATTATACTGTTTGCATTTTCCAGTGTGAATTTAGTCTATCCACTAAATTATTCCTAATGGGCCCAAACCAGTTTTGTAGGTTTTATTTCTTATTTCTGGCCCCAATCCTGGGCCTGTCTCCCTCTCATTCTGGAACTGCCTCCATCTACTCTTTTCTACCAAGACTGGTTGTGCAATGGGTCTCAACCCCCTGCCAACGGTTTACCCTCTCCTTGCTTCATCCAGAGTCGGATCATCTGGATGTTAGAGGTCATGCTAATTCTTCCCAGAGAAATGGATTGAGGATAAAGAACACAGTGAACATGGGTTTGGCACCAAGTTTACAGTGTCCTACTGAACTCTACAGTGCAATTCCTGATGCTTTGAGCTGGGGAACAGAAATATCTGTTCTCTGCATTTATTCCTGAGGTTAAGGGTATCAGTCTTCATACCCCAACCTTCCCTCCTGACCGTACCTGAGTGGAAATCTTACAGACTGTTCCCTGAGAGCCTCTGTTGTTAGCCTGAAGATAACTTCAGGACAGATATATTATCCCCTTTCCCCTGCTCAGAGCCTTCTGCCTACTCGCCAGAACTTTGCTCATCCAGGATCAGTTTCTCAGGCATTGCCTCCCTGGTGACCATATGGTGTGCTGTCACACCATGGTTTCCTGAACTATTCTTCTATTTTTAGGTGTTTAGTAGTTTTCAGCATTATGCTTCAGCAAGGGTAATGATTATTAGTATAATCTTTGAAATCCAGTATACTTGGATTCAGATCCCAGCTCTGCTCCTCTAGCTGTGTGACCTTGGGGTCACTTCACCTCTCTGAGCTTCAGTTCCTTTGCCAATAAAATGGGGGTGTAATAAGAAATACTACTTCCTAGGGAAGTAAAGGGATAATTATCTGAGCTTTACTTTTCTCACATGAAAAGATTTGAGGTCCTTTTGTACTAAGAGTGTCTGAGTCTTGGTTCTGAGATTTTTGATGCCATAGGTATTTAGTGGAGAAAGAGGTTCTTATAGTTGGAGTAAGTAAAGAAGTCTTCTTGGCAGAGATGCCAGAGTTCAGGTTTGCATTCCATTGAACTTGACCAAAATATCCATCTGAAAAGTTTATTATGGCCTGACTTTGCCCCTTTACTCTACCCTTGGATTTTTTCATTAATGTCCATTTTGTTAGGCCTGTGTTTTATTGGCTGTATTTTGATGAATAGAGATTCTGCTTCTGACTGTGTTTTTCTTGCAGGTCTGTGTGAACTGGAGAAAGTCTGACCTCCTTGCTCGGGAAAAGGCAATGCTGGAGTTTGCACTTGCTATTTCCAGAGCTGATGACATAACAGATGACCATTTCAAAAAGCTCGAAGTGCATGGCTTCAACCGAGAAGATGCCTGGGATATAGCTACCATTTCAGCTTTTTATGCCATGTCCAACTGCCTTGCTAATTTTGTCAATCTTGTTCCTAACAAAGAATTCTATTTGATGGGCAGAACCAATGATGTCAAAGACATCAAGAGTAAACCGGCTGCTCCCAAAGTATAAAAGCCTGAATGGAAAGGCCAGTGTTTACATTTCAGGCACACTACATTAGAAGACATCAATTGGGAAGCAGTTTTTTGAAAACATCTAGTCAGTGGACAGGGAAGAAAGTAAATAAATTTGCTTCCTGCTTGCTTGATGAGATAGATCCTAAGTGTCAGGGATATCCAGAAACATGTGATACCTGGGCCTAGGGGAAACCTTTGCCAATTTCAGGAAACCTTTGCCACTTTACTTTTGTTGTGATCTGAAAAGAGCATCAGGAGCAAAGGCGTTCAGAAGATGCTTTAGGCATTTTTGATGAAGTGGTATCTGTGAATTTCAGGAATTTAAAGTTTTTAGCTTTCAGAAATAGTGTTACATAGAAATTGGTGTAGACTGTGATTTGAAATCAATTCATTGTTAACATGGTTGTATTTAAAGAGTCTCAAAGGCAGTTGGTAAATAGGAGCTGGCATAGTTAAAGTTCTGTTTTTAGTGCTTTCTCAGTTAACTTCCAGTGATTTTTTTTTTTTTTTTACTGATTGGTTGTAAAATCATGGTCACTTATTTTAGTCCTTAAGTAATGTATTCTTATTTTAGGTTTTAGTAAAGATTACTTGGAATAAGTGAACACTTACATTTTAAGTAGAAGCATAAGAAAAAAACAGGCATTACTGAAAGACTTGTTCCATGTGTTACAAGCACCTCTGCCTTAAGTTTGTGGCTATCTTAACTTTTCAAGACTCATTATCTAACTGCTAGAGATATACGTAAACCTACAAAATGTTTTTGTTCCCATTTGGTTTCTTTTGATTCTCTCAATTGTCAGTGAACGGTTCTTATTCAGTTTGGGGGCTATAGTGTGTTAATTTTGAATTGCCAGAACTGTGAAATCTAATTCTCTTGGGTCAGTACAAACTCTTGTAGAACTTGCGCTTTTCTATTGGAACTGTATCTTAAATGCCTTAGAATATGGAACCTTTAAATTTTAAGTTTTATTTTACTTATTAAAAAAGTTAACATTGGTGAATGTGTCATGGTCAAGGTTTTGTAGGGCATAAAGTTTTAGCCATTGGCCATAACTTGGAGGTCAAGCAACAGGCCTCTATTAAATAGGCCTATTGCAGCCGGAAGTTGTGGGTCATTAAGGGAGATTATTTGTTAATCATAAGATAGACCTCAATTGCTTCTGCTCTGTTTGGGCAACATGGGGGATAGCTCCAGAGGAATGGCTGCCTTGATCTTATCTGAAGTCAGGACGCTTGCTTCTTGCCCTTTTTTTTTATCAGCTCATGGACAGGAGAGCTGAGTAACTATTAACTTTCCTGCTGGAAGCACCTGCTGAATGTTCAGCCCTCTCTGAATCTCATTCCTTTCCTCCAGAGATACTTTAGGTCTATTCTCACAGGATAGATCTTTCTACAAAGATCCTCCAGATTTTTCTTCAGTCACCAAATGTGAGCTTTTTACAACACAGCTCTTGATCAAGACTTAGAAGAGTTGTCAGTTCCTTATCTACTCCTCCTTTTACCTCAAGCTTTCCTTTATTGAAGACTCCCCTTCCCAAGAAACACCCCAGTTCCTGTTAACCCTTTTCTGCAGAGTTCTGTGTATTTATCTTCAATAGCGGTGATGAAGGGCCTTGTATCTGTCATGCCCTCCATGCCCTGCCTGGCAGATTGTAAGCAGGGTTGACGCTGGGCTCTATTGCTTGTAAGGTGAATTTGATTCAGGTCTCCTGCTCCTGTCAGTGACTCCTGGCTGGATATATAATCTTTCCTGCAGAGAGGAAGGCTTTGGCCTTGCTAAAGTTTGGCCTATTGTGCCGACGCTGGGAATCGGGCAGATAATCAGGGCACCAGTAGGCCCCATTTTCCAGGCACTGTACAGGCCAGGGCTTTTTAGTGCAGAAGTTAACTGGTGTCCTTAGACCTCCAGGTTTAGTAGGCAGTAAACTATGCCACTGACTATGTGAGACCAGCATGGTAATTTCTTCCCCTCGCTGATGTGTGTAAAGTGGAGGATAACAGTAGGTAATCATACCGAACCTCTCTAACTAGTCAGGCCCAGTCACCCCCTGGCACACAGTGACAGTCACTGACAACTACAAAATGTCGCACTCGGTGCCCAGATGCTAATTGCACCATACAGCCCCGGCCCTGAGCATTCTCAGTTGTGCACACATACAGTTGAGTCGCTCGGACCGCCTTCGGTCGGTGTCCCGGCTTTCGCGGTCCCCGGCGGATGGTGGCGAAGGGAGGCGCGGGTTTCCCAGCCGGCGGGGTTAGGCCAACGCGCGCCGGAAGTGGCGGCTGGGAAGGGTGGGCTGAGGTGTCTGCCGGCGGGGCAGCGGCCCGGAGCGGGGGGCGGGGGCGCCAGTTATGTTTCCCTTCGGACCCGGTAGCCCCGGAGGGGACCAGGAGGCCGGGGCTGATGAGCCAGCACCCCACAGAGGAGAGGCGGCAACAACCGGGTACCTCCCTTCCCCGCCCGCGCTGCCACTGCCTGGGGCTGACGCAGCTCCTCCCCCGTCGCCTTCCCGGAGCCCGCGTCGCTCCGGCGGCCCTTCGCTGCCCCAGGCCTCGCGCGCCGCGCAGCTCGGGTCACCTGGAGCGCTGCAGTCCTCAGCTGCCTCCGCCCTGGGAGAGCCGTCACCGCCCTCCCCGACGTGCCGGCGGCCCGGGCCAGACTGCAAGGCCGGGAGCCGGGAAGCGCACGGCCTCGGCGCCCGGCTGTTCGGGTGGCTGAGAGAGCGCAGCCTGGGCCGCGGGCTGTTCGTGGATCCGGCGCGCGACAATTTCCGCACCATGACTAACCTCTATGGTTCCATCCATCCCGCGGACTCGGTGTACCTCAGCACCCGCACCCACGGTGCCGTCTTCAATCTCGAGTACTCGCCCGACGGGTAAGCGCGGTCCTTCGGAGGGCGGGTACCTGCCTCCACCTGGCTCGGCTGCCCTTGGGCCCCTGCCCAGGGCTCGCTTGATCGGTCCGGGCCGGGGTGTGCGAGTTTGTTTGGGGTCATTGGCGTTCATGCTCCTGGCGCTTTCTGAAATGCTCGATTGCTGTCGGAGGCCCCATCCTGCCCCATCCTGCGCCCGTGGCCTCATTTGCTCACCTGGACACCCAGGCTCTGTGAAGGGGAAATTCCTACAGCCACATAGCAGGTCTGTCAGAGCCAGTCCAGAACTGGGGTTTTCTGGCACACTAGATGCTCAGTAAACACACTGGATAAATGCCCAATTTTTTCCCTGTAACCCTTGGCTTGCGTTTTTCTCACCTAAGCATGTGTCAAGGGTAGGGAGCCAGCACATGTCTTGTACATAGTGCTTGACTTGCCCCGTGGGGACAAGTGTGCGTTCCTTTGCTCCAGTAAGATGCTAAAGACACTGCAGAGAGGTGTCTTATGAATTGGGGAGGCATTTGTGAAGTTTCCAGGGTAGACTACATGCTTCTGTTAAGAGGATCCAGCCTTTTTCCTGGCTGATTAAATATCTCGTGTTTGGCCTCTGTTTACTTTGGGCCGATTTTCAAAATAATATATTTTTAAAACTGTTTTGTGAGTATGCGAACAAGTTTAACAGCAGTCAAAGAGAAAATTTACACAGTTCCACCATGAGACGACATGGTTAATATAACTCTGACCTTATCAAGGCTTCTGGATTCCTGTTATTTGCTTAGTGTTCATTCAGTCATTGCCTCATTCAGCAAATAATTGTTGAACGTTTGTATGTACCAGAGGTGGACGTTGCAGTGATGAGCAAAACCAGCTAATGGTACTGCTTTCACTGATCTTGGGACCAAATGGTTCAACTAAATATGAATAACCATACTAAATGATTCATAATGTATATTTACAAATTGAGGTAAAGGCTTGAAGGAACCTGTTGTAGAATAGGGTGTTTGAGGTTTCCCTTAGGAAGTGACACTTAACGAAGATCAGAAAAATGAGTAGAAGATGAATTAGTCAAGATAGGGTTGGGGAGTATTTCATGTGGAGGAACTAGTGTGTCAAAGGACCTGTGGCTGGAGGGGCAGCATATCATGTGAGAGAAGCTGAATGATGATAGGTTAACACAGCAAAGAATTTTGCTAAAGAAAGACTTAACGTGTGCTAAGGAAGGAGCAAAGCAACTGAATCTGGAATCACTTAGCAGGTACATCTTATTCCATTTCCCTGATGCAAATGCTTCTTCCTAATTACACTTGGTGCTGGGATCTCTGGAGTTTCTCATTATAGCAGTTGTGTGGAACTTTAACAATAAATGTGCACCTGAATACAGAGGAAATTGGTGAGAGGAGAAAGCATTTTGCTGAGGTTTATTCGTGGAACCTCCTCTTCCCTCTATTTCCTCCAACCAAGCCCTATTCTTTTTTTTAAGGATTTTATTGGGGAATTGGGGAAGGGGAACAGACAAGTTGCTGTCCTTTTGTTCTTCATCTAGTTGTGGAGGACGTCGCTTCACTGGCCCATGTTGGTATTGTAATCATTGTGCTCTTCCCAGCTGAGGCAGATCGGTCTGTCACCAGCCATTGGACAGCTCTCTCACGGCGGCTCACGAAAGTGCACGCCAGCTGCTTGCCAGCCCCACTGCAGCCTTTGCCGACACTGGCGATCATGGCAGCCCAGCTCCAGGTCGAGTTGTTGTTCACAATCTTAGCTGTAGAGGGCGCAGCATCTCTGGGCCCATGTGGGAATGGAACTGGCAGCCCTGTTCAGAGCTCGCACTTTTACCAACTGAGTCACTTGGCTGGCCCCAAACCCTATTCTTAAAGCTCCTCCCAAAATACCAAGAGTCTCTTCCTCATAAACATTCAGTTCCTCTCTTCTCAATATCCCAGCTCCTCTCCTCCCTCCTCCTACCTATTCTGTCAGACCTTCAGAAGTAGCTGTTTCTACTCTTTGGAGGTGGGATTTTAGGTAGAGGGTGGGAGGGGTAGAATGAGTTATGAAGAAGGAATTCCATTGCCAGTGATACTAGAATGAGGAATGTATTACTGATAGTTCTTGTTTGACTATGGACTGTATTTTCCGATAGAAACATTTTTGTAAAAAGTGATTAAGTACTCTGATATTTAAACAAAATAAATAATGTTTAATTACCCAGTTAATAATACACTCATTGTAGAAAACCTAGGTAATGAACAAAAAGAAGCTAAACAAAACGATCCCAAAGATTAATTAGATATTTCAGGAATTTTTTTCTTGGTATATGTTGATTTTAATACAGTCTTGGAATCATGCTGTTTTGTAGCCTGCTTTTTAAAATACAGTATATTGTGAATTACCTATGTTAATAAATATATTTCCACAACATTTTTTCACTAGTTTAAATAAACCCTCTATAAACAAATATTTTAGACTTATGTCCTTATGATAAATCCCTGAAATGAATTCAGGTCATGAAGATTTTGGATACCTATTATTAAATTGTCCTCTGTGAAGACTATACCAATTCTCATTCCTATCAGAGACATATGAAAGCGCTTGTCTCCTATACTCTTGCCAACATTGCACAATGCATTTCTTTTTCATCTATGTCAAAGTGATAGGTGAAAATAGTTCATTGTTTTAATTTTTTAGTATCTTACTTCATCTACTAATATACTCCAAATTTTTATAGCACTTAATTTTTTAGAAGTGACATCTCTTTGTTAAATGAAGTAATTTCTCATACCCTTCAGTTATGTATCAGTTAAATCAACTTAACTGGATACCATAACCACTGTCACTTACAAGAACTTCTCAGTACAGAGGAGAGATGACACTGAAGGTAAGATTTAAAAATATGAATTTAATAGAGACCAGACTAGAAAGAAGTTGCCACTAAAAAAGAAATGAAAGGATACATGGATTATAAGATAATTTCTAAAGAATTCCCAAAATGTTTTAAGCAATAGTAATGTTGTCAAAATAAGTGTATCACCTTCTAAGATAACATTTTTAAAAAGGAAATTTGATAATGTTAATAGATAGATAATAAAATGTGGGACTTTCTCAAGCAATTCCTCTATGAAAACATATTAGGCACTGCTGAAAAGAGAATTAGTGTGTTAGAGAATGGAAGTGAAGAAATTATCCAGAATGCAGATGAGAGAGACAGATTGAAAATACAAAGGTTTAGTGACATGAAGCATAGAGAGAAAAACCCCATAACGTATATATTTGGTTAGTTCCTGAAGAAAATGAGATAAGTAATGGGGCAAAAAACCTATTTGAAGAGATAAAAGCTGAGAACTTTCCAGAATTGAAAAAAAAGTACTAAGCCATGATTTAAGAAGCACAACACTTCCCAAGTAGGAATCCTCCCTAGACATATAGTGAAACTGCAAGAAAACAAATACAAAATCTTAAAAGCTAGAGAAAAAAGACCTTCAAAGAAGTAACTATGAGCCTCATAGCCAATTAGTCAATAATAGTGTAAATCAGAGGACAATGATGATTATTTTTAGTATGCTGGAAAAAAAAACTGCCAATCTAACTGTCTTCGAGGATTAACAAGTATGCGAACTTGTTGCAACTAACCATTTTTTATATCAGAGGGATTATTATGAATTTGTACCAACTGGACAAACAGTTAACCAAGTTTACTATTTGGAAGTGCTGAAAAGGCTGTGTTAAAAAGTTATACCTGAACTTTTCATCAACAATTCATGGCTTTTTTTTTCCCCCAAAAAGATTTTTATTGTGGAATCGGGGAAGGGGAACAGACAAGTTGCTGTCCTCTTGCTCTTCGGTCTAGTTGTGGAGGACGTCGCCTCACTGGCCCATGTTGGTATTGTAATCATTGCGCTCTTCCCTGGTGAGGCAGTCTCTCACCGGTCATTGGACTGCCGCTCTCGGGAGCTCATGGCCAGCCACCTTGAGCTGCCGGCCAGCCCAGTCCCACTGCAGCCTACACTGTGGTCACTGGCAACCCCTGGCAGCCCAGCTGTAGGTCAAGCTTCCGTTCACCATCTTAGCTGTAGAGGGTGCAGCGTCACTGGCCCTAATGTGGGATCTGAACTGGGGCCCTGCTGCTCAGAGCTGGCGTCCTAAGCCAACTCCTAAGCAACACGCCACTCGGCCGGCCCAACAATTCATGGCTCTTGAATCATGACAGTGGACCAGCTCACACAGCACTGTCTGTGAGGGCGTTTTTAGCCAGTAAACAAATAACTGTATTGGAACACCCTCCTTACTCACCTGATATGGACCCCAATGACTTTTTTCTTTACCCAAAGATAAAGGAAATATTGAAAGGAAGACATTTGGATGACATTCAGGACATCAAGGGTAATACGATGACAGCTCTGATGGCCATTCCAGAAAAAGAGTTCCAAAATTGCTTTGAAGGGTGGACTAGGCACTGGCATCGGTGCATAGCTTCCCAAAGGGAGTACTTCGAAGGTGACCATAGTGGTATTCAGCAATGAGGGATGTAGCACTTTTTCTAGGATGAGTTTGTGAACTTAATTGTCAGACCTCGTATACCCAGCAAAGATGAAGAACAAAGATGAAATAAATATTCACACAATCAAAGCTGAGTAAGTTTGCCACCAGACTTTCAATAATGGAATTCTAAGTTGAGAGAGAAGAAAAGATTTTCAAATGGAAGGTTTGAGATGCTAGAAGGAATAAAGAACAAAGAAAATGGAAAATATGTAAAATGAATTTTGTCTTTTGGGATTAACAGAGATGGAACTAAAATAGAGGGCAACAATTATATATAAATTATGAAGGGATGTTCTAAATTCCTTATGTCTTTTTGAGGAGAAATTATATATTAGCTGTAGGCTTTAATAAGTTTAGTATGCATATTAAAATTTGCAAGGTAACCACCAAAAGATAAGAAAGAACATATCCTTTCTAGTAGATATGGAACTATATGGAATAAGAAAATAATTCCAAAAGAAGACAAGAAA